CTTTTTCTCTAATTTGGTCTGCAAACTTAGGTTGTTAACCATCCAGAAGAAAAGCTTATTGTTATTATCAAACGATTTGGGCTATCAATCTTTACTTTTTTCTTTACCAAGCACATTTTTAAAGTTGATATGTGGCCTTTTTAACATTTTATTATTTATTATAAAATAAATTCAATATAATTTATTTCATTAAGTAAATATGTCCCCATCTTACAGCTTCAACACATGACTTTTTTAGGATTTTTTTTAAAGCTTACTAATGGTGATTTTATTAAATGATTTAGAACCGATGAGAGGAAACCTGAGAGAAAATCAAGAAGAAAAATTAATGGAATATTTTTTGTATGTAATTTCAGTTGAAGGTAATAAAGAAGGATACATAGTTTTTCAGTTATTTGTGGGTCAACTTGTTTTGGTCTTGATACCATAGTAATCATGGAGTGTTGCAAAGCTGTCATACAATTTTCAAAAATTACCTTAGGCTCATTTTGATCTCATTTAATTTCTATATTTTATTGAGGCTTAAAGCAATAAAAGATACTATAAAAACTAGTATCTAGTTATCAAGTTGGTGGGATAAGAGAGAGGACCTAAAAGATACATATATTTTTCTGATGACTTGATTTTTAGCAGAGGTGACAAAGCAATCCAACAGGGAAGGAAGATCTTTTCACTAAGTAGAGCCAGAATAAAGTAGCTGAATATCCATATTGAGAAAAATGAATCATGACCCCACTACCTCACCAAAATGAGTTTGAGTTGGATCATAATTCCAAATGTAATAACTAAAAAGTATAGAGCTTTCTTGTTTTGTAAAAAACATAGGTGCATATCTTTGTGATATGTGGGCAGCCAAAGATTTCTTAGATCACAGAAAGTAATACTTCCCTTTAAAGATCCAACATTTAAGTCTATCGAAATTAAAAACTTATCATGACAAGATAGTATTAATAAGTAATATCAAATGACATAGAGTAGCTTTATAAAACTAGGTTAATAGACATAAGGGTTTTTTCTTGTTTAATTCTGATAAAGTTCCTTGATAGGAATTTCTGTAGTTTAAGAATGGATTTATTTTGTCTGTGTCTTTAATCATTACAAACGCATTATGACACTTCATGGTTATTTTTGCTTGTGAATAAAGAAGTATGACTTGTAAAAAAAAAAAATTTAAAGCACACAGAGATGTAAAAAAGATAGTCATCTCTGAGCAAGCACTGTTTCATTAGATTTTCAGCTGTAGTCCTACGGGTATGACTAACCAAATGTTTGGATGCTATTGTATGATCAGAAAACTTCAACTGGTTAAGACGGGGGAGGATGGCAGAGCAGGACTTCCAAGCACTCAGTCCTCCACTGAGTTCAGGGGGATCTTCATTCCCAGCCCCCCTTCCCTGGATGTCAAAATCCACAACTGTGTAAGTCTATTCTCCCCACTCCACTGTGGTTGGGTTTAGTGTGCAGCTCTCTGGCTTCACTTTTCCTCTCTGTTGCAGTTTGGGTCTAGATGTCCTTCCAACATCTCATCCAGTTATAAGTGGGGCTTTTTCAGGAGTGGCTGGATCTAGAGTGTGTGGTGCTGGGGTTAATTCATGGTGTGATGCTATGCTCATGGATACTAGGATTAAGGGTGTGAGTGCTACCTACACTAAGTAGCTTGGATAAGATACAAGGAATGGAAAGAACTGTGGTCATCCCTTGCCTGCTTTTGCTGTCTACTGCCTGAAATGAACTGTTTCCCTTTTGCAATGCCTCTCTTCCCTGTGCCACCCTGGCTTGGAGTCAGTCAACTATGGACTGAAATAGCTATGAGCTGTAAACCAGATAAACTTTTCTCCTTTGACTTTGGGTGTCAGATATTTTGTCTCAGCAGTAAGTGAAAAGTAACAAAGACAGATTTGTCTTTGTACAAATTGATACCAGAGAAATGGTACAGATTGATACCAGAGAAATGGGACTGTTGCTGTGACTATACCTGACCATATGGTTAAGGACCCCTGGGGACAGGCTTGTAGGAAGAACTTGGGAAGCTTTGGAGATGCTGGCTGAAAAGTACAGTGAGAACATTTGAGGCTGTACTTGATGGGAGATTGTGGTCAGAGGACAGAATAGAAGGCTGATAGAAATTCTGTCAATAAACAACAGGCTCAGGAGGTTTGAAAGAAGGACTGCATTGGCTGTTGGATTCCATGTGATATGTGTTATCCCTTGGCATTAAGTTTATCAACATTTTGCTCATGTCCAGAGACTTTGCCTGAGACTGAGATTAAGGACAGTGGACTAATTATTCTGGCAGAAGCTTCCACCATAGCAACCATTGAAGAACAGTAACCATGGCCCTCCGCTATCCCATGGCCATGGGCCTTAACAAGGGCCACAAGGTGACTGAGAATGTGAGCAAACTGAGGCAGAGCTGCCCTCACGGATGCCTCACCAAACACACCAAGTTTGTGCAGGACATGATCTGGAAGGTGTGTGGCTTCACCCACTACAAGTGGTGCATCATGGAACTGCTCAAGGTCTCCAAGAACAAACACACCCTCAAGTTCATCAAGAAAAGGGTGGAGATGCACATCTGCACCAAGAGGAAGTGTAAGAAGCTGAGCAACATGCTGGCCACCACAAGGAAGGCAGCTGCCAAGAAGGATGGAGCCCCTCTGGAATAAACTTTGCAGAAAGTTAAAAAAAATTATTCTGGAAGAAGAAATTTCAAGGCAGTCTAATGTTGGGGTGGTAGCCTGGCTACAGTTGGGGGCTTTTAGCCAGATTTATGTTGAGAATCAATAGCAAAGAGTCCATCAGAATGGTTCAAAATGTGAATTTTGCCAGAAATGTAATTCTTATAAAGTTACAACCTGGAAAAATGGAACATAGGAGACATGGTTACAGGAAAGACTAGCAAGAAAAATCCAAGTATTTCATAAGAAGTCAAGAGAAAAGATGGCTTGTGGGAATCACAAGATGCAGAATGTTTCTACTCTTTGCAGCCTCATAATTACAAAGACAAAAGACTTTCCTTAGAGAAGAGAGTCCCAGAGTACTATGTCTGAGACTATGAGCAGCCTAGAGTATTTGTTCCTCAGAATTGGGTGGAGTGCTCAGGAATCCAGGTACTTGACTTCAACATCCAAGAGAAAAGGAAACCTGGCTATTGATCCAACTGACTGCAGACCTTGACATCATTCCACATGGTGATGATTTTTGGCACATGCCAAATACAAGAGTTTTGGTGTCAGGAAGGCCTCTACCCAGTTTTCAGAAGAAAGCCCCTGCGAGATCGGGATATATGCTCCTGAGAGGGAAGTGTGTGAAGCTGTGACTGTGAAGCCAAAGGTGCAGTGGAGACCCCAGAAGGGTAGAGAATCCAGGAATACAGCTTGTCCAAGAAAAACTACAAGAGTGAACCAGAGCTGCCCAAGGCAGAAATTTAAGCTACAACCACCAGAAGTAACATAGGGGCAGAGCCACAGAAGCCTTTTGGAGGTCACAACTTGCCACAGATTGCCTAGGATTTTGGGAGTGGCACCACAGGATTTAATGTTTGCCCTGCTGGATTTTGATCTTGCTTTGTTCCCATTTCTTGCCATCCCCCTAAATGTCTATCTTGCACCACTGAGTGTTGAAAGTGTTTAATTTTCTTTTTCATTTGTACAGGGCTTCCAGCTAAGAGTTTGCTTTAAGTCTCAGAGGAGACTTTAGAGTTGGACTTTTCAGAATGCTGAAACTGTGAGGACTTCAGCAACTCTTAGAGATGGACTAAATAAAGAGATGTTCCTGAGGCTTTTGGGGGGTGCTGAAGGCAGAATGTTATGGCTTCTGTTTAGATGTTACCCAAAAGCCTCATCCAGTCGTAAGTCAACTTTTTCAGAGGTGGCTGGATCTAGAGTATGTGATGCTGGGATTGATTTAACACTGCCTTTACAGGTTATTATGGAATTTTGCTTTGGTTTGATTTGTTTTAAATTTTAAATAAGTGTTATCTCAGTGAATTATCATAAACTGAATAGCTGTATAGCATAGAAGATTACAAGAAGCCCTAATTCTCCCATGTATATTACCTTCTCTACCCCTACCTTTCTCTCCTGGTCAAACATAACCACTCTCTTGACTTCTACCAGCACAGATTTTTTTTTTTGCTTGAATTTTTTTCTGCTTTGATTGTGGTTTCCTTGTTGTTTGGGTATTGTTGCACTACTAGGGATTGGACTCAGGGCCTTCACACCAAACTACATCTTTGGCCTGTTTAAAAAAATTTTATTTTGAGATGTTTCCCAGACTGGGCTAGAATTTATGATGCTCCCAGAATGCTACGATTATAGGTATGTGCCACCACACCTGGCTCTATGTACAACATTCTTGGGCCCTATGTGGGAGGTTTATGACTGACTGGCAGACTTGGGTGGGGGGTAGTTTAAAGGTTCCATGAACAGTTTTACAGCTTTTTTCTTCTGTGTCTACAGGGAATGCAGTTTCACAGAGCAACTCAAGCCCAGTGGTGGTAAATGGGGTTGTAGGGGAATCAGTAACTCTACCCCTGAGGTTTCCAGCAAAAGAGATCAATGCTGTCATCTGGAGTTACAAGGACACATTCATTACTATCTGTCAGTCATCTGGAACCCCAAAGTCCCTGTTTCCTAATCCCGAATATGACAAGAAACTGAACTGCACCCAATCCTATTCCTTACATTTCTTCAATCTGACAAGGGCAGACTCAGGATCTTACCGAGCCCAGATAAACATAGGAACCAATGTGACATACTCCAATTATGACCTAAAGGTCTTTGGTGAGTCTAAACGGGGGTCTATTTATGTATAAAATTAAAAATGACATATTTCAACCCTCTGTGACTACAGATGTGCCTACTGGTGAAGAGGACAGCATTTGGAGTCAAAATGAGATCCAGCAGTTAAGCAAACTCAGTGGCATTGTACAGGCAGACAGTAGTAGAGTTGGCTAGAATAGAACCCTCGACTTGTGGTTTTCTACACAGAATCACCTCAGCCTCCTCTCATCCAATCACGTGGTCCCTTTGAACTAGAATTGTAGTCAATTTAATATTTATGGTTCCATAACATGGGCACAATATGTATCTGTCATGTAATCCTCACAAAGACTCCGTGAATTATGTACAGTCCTTATCCCTGAGGCAGAGTTTCAGACACAGTAAGCTGCCCATGGTCACAGAGAGCGTAAGTGGTACCACTTCCCACACAACCAGCCAGACACAATTCTTCCCTCTCCCCAAAGATTAGCCTGACCTAATAGAGTGGTCTGTGAGAGCCTTCTGTACAGGTGAGCCAAAAAAGAGAAGAGTCAATGAATTTCTAACAATATTTTCCTAAATGGCTCGTGTTGTGGGTCAATAGTCAAAAATATGCTTTCCCGCGACTAAAGAATGAAGATATTCGCAACATAAAATTATGAAAACTATAATGAGATGGTCTATGAATCTCAGAAACCAAAAGGAAACACTAACAATAACGAATGGCATTGGAGTAATCACTTTGCAGGCGATTCAAGCGTTAAGTTGGCCATCACACAAGACAACTTTGAAGACCACTGAATTTCTATAGTTCTCACCAAAAGGCCCCAAAGGGCATTTCAGCCATTTTAGATTTTGCCATTTGAATTAAAAGATGGAATTTGTTATTTTAAAATAATTTTATTGATAGAGAAGGAGCAATGAGACGGTTTCAAAACAGGTTAGTAGGACAGTTACAATAATTAACACATTGCATATTGTTGTCTTTGTGGTAGTTATTCATAGTACAAGATGCAGGCATGATATCTCGTCTAAACACTATTAGCTCAAAACTTTCTTCTCATTGAACTAAGAGAAAGTAGCTGTGTATCTATGCTAACTATTTTGTATATACAGATATATATGTAAGTTTTTCACTATAAAATGGTCCTTCATTTATATCCCCCTTTTTTGTTTCCTTTTGTCAGAGATGGGTATTCCATGGCCATTCATATATTGTAGGTGCATGAATTCAGCATAGTAATCCAGTAGTCTATAATAGTAGTGGGTTATCCACATGACTAGCAATGTCAGAAGTTGTGGACTTGAGCCTTTTACAGCTCAGCATATTAATATGGCTTTACTTTCTATACCTCGTTTTTATACATTTCTGCTGGATGGCTAAGACCAAGATAAAACAAGACTTATATAACAAGAAATGTAACTTTTGTATCTGACAAGGTCAGTCAAAACCCCTCAGGATTTACCCTGAAACCCTGTACAGCAGTTTGTAGATCTTTTGTCAGTGTCAGCCATGTGGATAAGTCACGGCCATTGCTTGACAAATTTGCTCTCTGTGAAAGCCTGAGAGAATATTTTCTCACCAGGTGACTCTTCTTAGGCACACTTTACGTCGTCGATCACTTTCCCCTATGGCCCCAAAATCTCCTTGAATAGAAAATTTAGGACATCATTTAGCTATAGTATGTTACAGTACAGGTTGTCTTATGTCCTGAGTCCTCACTGACCTTGAAGGGCTAGGTCCAAAATGTTGGCTATCCTTATAGCTCTTCTTTTTCTAAGAGATGGAATTTAAAAAAAAAAAAATCTCTGTTGAAATACCTCCACATTTGGATTACTTGTTAACTCTGTATTCCTGGAATATTTGAAGAGTTTACCATTGTTAGATTAGTCAATGTCCAGTCCTGGAAAGACTATGCCTCAGGGCATGTGCTCATGTTCTGTAGCAGCCAAAACAAAATACCACAGGCTTCCTTTCTAAAACAACTTAAATGTATTCTTTTAAAGTTCTCAGGATGAGAAGTCCAAAGCAAGGGATGGACAGGGCTGCATTCCCTTTGGAGACCCCAGATGGCTGTCTGTTCTTTACCTCTTCTAGCTTCTGGATGACGTCAGCATTCTGATTGCTTTATGATACAGACTGGCTGTACCATCACAGTCTCTGTCACATTGCCTCTTGTCTTCTCTGCACTTCTTTTCTCTTCTGTCTGTCTCAAATATTTCTCTGCTTTTCTCTTGTATGAGAACTTGTTGTTGGATTTAGGGCCCATCCAGATAATCCAGGATGATTTCATCTAATTTAATTCCTTTTGCAAAGACCCTTTGTCCAAATGAGATAATATTCCCAGATTCTGAGATTTAAGACATGCACATAACTTGGGGGGGAATCATGCCTTAAGCAAGTACAGGAGGATCACCCTGGCTCATCAGTGATCAAGACAGTGCTGGGACCCTGAAAGAAGTGAGACACGTATGGTGGAAAGACCAGGAAGAGATCCCGGACCAGGCTGTGTCCTATTTGCAGAGACAGTGCCTTTCTGACACTACTGAGAAGATGGGGCATGATGTCTCCTGCAAGAACTACACTGTTATGGTCAATTTCAACCCCTTTTCTTTGATTTTGGAGTATCTTTCCTTCAGAAGCACACACATTCAAAGGGATGCATAAGCCAGACCAACTTGTTTTACAGTAGAGCAAAGGAATTTCAGAGGATAAAATATGTAGGCTTTTGTTTTTAAAACATTGACCAATCACTGTGTGCCAGGATAAGGGTGGTAAAGATTCACTTTATATAGCAATAGCAATTCATTATGCATGCTAGAGTTTGATATTAAGAAAGATATTGAACATACACTAAGTTGATGTATTAAGCTGGCAATATTCATTGGCCATGGATAATGTACAGAATAAGGCACTCTTCTAGATCCTTGGCCTATATCAGGCATACAAAGTTCCCTGCCTTCATGGGGCTGACATTCTGGTTGGAGATGGAAGACCGGTAACAAATAATACATGTAATTTTTAAAAAGCAATATAGTATGTTAAGAAAAAACTACATGATTTATATGGAGAGAGAGACAGAAAGATTAGAACAGCATAATAAACATCAAAAATTCAGGGGACCAGTGATCACTTTTAAAGAGGGGGGTCAGAGTAGGCCTCATGGAAAAAATCTGTCAGTAATAAAAAGTGAACCATGGAGACACCTAGAGGAAAAGCCAGCGATACAGGAACCTGGCATGCTTAAGGAATATAAAAAAGAAAAAGGAATATCGAGTAGGAACAGAGTGAATGATGGAGCCAGAGGAGATTAGGTCAGAAATAGGAAGTTGCATTACACAGGGCTCTGAAAGGCACAGAAAACCTTTGACTTCTAGTCTCAGAGAGATTGTGAGCCTCTGGAGAGTTTTACAAGATATAACATGATTAAAATTACCTATTTAAAGGATGCCATTAGCTACTTTATTGAGAAGTCAATGGACCAACAGACCAATTAGGAGTCATTGCAATAATTCAGGCAAGAGTTGACGCTGGCTTGGACCAGCAGAAGAAATCAGAAGAGAGTGAAATCCAGGTAAAGTCACCAAGACTTCTTATGGTACTATGAGATGATGAGATAGACCACAGATGACTCTGGGCATTTGGCCTGAATATCTGGAAAGATATTGTTGTCATGTACTAAGGTAGGGAAGGGTATAGATCAAACAGGCTTCAGACAAAAAGAAGAAGCTCTTTCTAAGATATTGAATTTAAAGCTGGGTGTGGTAGAACATGTCTATAATCCCACCACTCTGAAGGCTAAAGCATAAAAAAATCACAAATTAGAGCCCAACCTGGCTAATTCAGAGATTTAGTGAAATCCTGTGTGAAAATTTAGAAATGGGTTAAGAAATGTAGCTCAGGGTAAAGGCTCGGTTCAATCCCCAGGACTAAAAGAAAAGAAAAAAAACAAAAAAAGAGTTTATGAGTTTGACATATATCCAAATAGAAATTTCAAGCAGAGAGTTACATGTTTAATAAGTGGGAAAAAGTAACAATCTAGGTTTTTGAGGTCAGCTGTGGCCATGGGATGAGATACGGCACTCATACCAAATATTTGCCATCTCCATTAAGCACTGTTTTATTTAATCCTCATAATTACCTGAGAAGTAGATATTATTGTTTGATTCTTCCAGATAAGGAAATCTAGTCCTGGATATATTAATAATTTGCCCATGATTGTATAGCCAGTAAATAATAAAACCAAGACCCTAGCCCAGATTTCCCTACCTGCAGTCTAACACCCTTGCCATACACAAAAACTCCATTCTAACAAGGCATAATTAGGTTGTCTCAGTTACTCTTTCTCATCACTGGAACAAATACCCAACACTCAAAATGAAGGAAGGAAAGGTTTATTTAGCTCACAGTTATTGGAGGTTTCAGTCCATACTCAGCTGGCTCCAAGGCAGAGTGGCACAGGGCAGAGTGGCAGAGAGCAGAGTGGCACAGTGCTCTCTGCTCTTTCATGGCAGCAGCAAAGAGCAGAGAGCAAAGAGAGAGGTAGCAGCTCAGGCAGCTAGACAGCCTCTCTCCCCTCCTTACATTGTAGGGTAACTTACCTGCTCCAGGGCAGGTGCAGCATCCACACCCACAATAATCCATCACAAACTCCAGAAGCCTCCCCAAGACTGCATGAGGCTTTGCGGGGACAAGACACAAAGCATGGCATAGGGTATCTATCATTCCTCAACTGTTACTCAGTTGACTGAGTGGAGAGCATTACTCGGTCTCATCTAATCAGAGTTGAAGCCATTCTGTTCTTTCTTGGCTCGTTTACTTGGATCCTCAGACCCACGGAAGGAAAGGGCATTTGCTTGTCTTGCTCTCAATCCCTGTTTATTCATCTTGCCAGTGTTTTCTAGTCTTTGTTCTCATAAATTTCTATATCCTGTGTCATCCCAAATAACTGAATATAATCACATCTCTGTGCTTCCCAGCGTTGCTTACTTGCTCGTGCCTCAGGGTCACCAACTTAACCCTCACACTGTCTTTCCGAGGAACAATGTCTGAGCTCCTGAAAGGTACCCCAGAAAGTTAGAGCGGCCAGCCCCAAATTACCCAAACAGTTGGTGGCAACCCAGTTGACCCCTTCTCGCTTCTCCCATTTCCATTTGTTACTTCATCTCATCCTGATGCCCCTTCGCTGGGTCACCCCAGACATTACTAGCAACATTAGGCAACACAAGCAGCAATTTTACAAAGTACACAAGCCATGCAAAAGCAGAGCTGCTATACAAAACATAAATGTGCAGGATCCCAGCCATTTGTCCTGAACCCCAGTCTTTCCTCTGTATACAGGACGACTACGTAACTTACAAGTTTTTCATCACAGCCAGCCATCTAAGAATGGAACCTGCAAGATCCACCTGACTTGCTCCGTAGAGAACATAAATGATGCCATCTCACTGGGGTGGCAGCTCTCAGAAAATACCTCTCTGAGTAAACCAAACATCACTGTCTTCTGGGACTCCAAGGATTCCAGTAACCAGAGCTACTTGTGCATAGCAAAGAACCCCGTCAGCAATTTGTCTTGCCCTGTCTCTGCCAAGAGTCTCTGTAAAGGTAACAGTTGTCCTCAGGCCTCTGTGAGAGCTTTGAGCAGCTGTGGGATGGGGCAACCCTCTTATGCTATGTAATGCCCAGGAAGTGGCAGCAGGAGGCTGGGAGAGGACAGCTAGAGTTTTGCACCTCTCGCTTCCCCCCAGAGGTTTCTCCTTCTTTCCTCCCCCTCCTTCTCCTCCTCCTCCTCCTCCTCCTCCTCCTCCTCCTATTCCTCCTCCTCCTCCTTTTCCTCTTCCTCTTCCTCCTCCGCCTCCTTTTCCTCTTCCTCTTCCTGCACCTCCTCTTCCTCTTCCTTTTCCTCCTCTTCCTCCACGTCTTCCTCCTCCTCCTTCTCTACTTCGTCCTCCTCCTCCTCCTCCCCATGTCCTCTTCCAAGAACAAAGGTTTGAGGAAGGCAAGCTGTCTTTCCTCCACCCCACCCGTCTCTACCAAGCCCCACCCTGCTCTGCTGACACACATGTTCCCACTCCCAGAGAGCTTACCAGAGCCCCAAAACACTGAATAAGAAGCACCCAGCCATGCCTGCAGGCAACTTAGAAGGGGCTCAGTGAAGGCTCTGGAAAGGACACTAGGCTTTACCTGATGTGTCTCAAGAAATTCCATTTCTATTTTCTCTTTTCAGGTATTTCAACTGAAAAAAATCTATACTTGATTATAACTGTAACTTCTGTGATACTTATACTCATTATCATTAGTATCATTGTGATGATACTAATTTTCAAGAAGAAAAAAGGTAAGTCCCTCTCTTCTTGTCTCTCCTCCAGAGTCTTAGGGTTGCAGTCTGTGGACTCTGATTGCCAAGGCTGTGTAGTGGAGGATAGGAGAAGGCAAGGAGCACACAAACCTCCGCTCAGCTCATCCCTGCGGAGACTCCCAGGGTGTGACTGTGCAGCTGCTAATGTCCTAGGGGAGGGGTTCCAGTGGGGAAAGGGGGCCTGGGTTGAGTGTCCTCCCATACATTCTCTACAGACTGCTCTGGGGGAGGAGTTCAAAGCTCTCTCTTGCTGCAGTCATGCATTTTGGTGGCTTGATTTTATCTTTCAGGTTCCCTTCATTTCCTTACTGTGCATCCTGGTGAGCATCCAGACTGTCACTTGGCAACCATAAAGCAGACAGAAAGAGCCAAGCGCAAGAAACAGAGGGTTGGGTGACACGAAAAGGGAGTGAGGATGGCCCTATTCAGAGGGATCCCGTGGTGTGAGGGGAGATAAACTGTCACCATGAGGCCTGCAGGGTCCTTCACACATTTCTCATATGGAAATAACAGTGACAAGGCTCATGGTCTGTCCATTGCCACCTAGCAAATCCAAGTTAGGGCAGTGAGATCTGAGTATCAGAGGACAAAAGCCTAACTGCCTGGCTTCACCACTGGCCAAGATTTGGGCAGTGGAAGATGTGCTGTGTTACAGAAATAAAAAACAAAGTGCACTATAGCAGAGGGAACCTAGGCTCTGGACTCAGATAGGCTTTGCATCTTGCTCTGTGGGCAAGAGATACAGGGACGGTGTCAAACAAGGGGCATGAGGTCTAGAGTCAGAAAATAACCATTTGCATTGTGTCCCATCATTTCTTATGTGACTTTACACAAGTCATTTGAAGCTTCTGAGCCAGAAGTTCTTCATTTTGAAGTTAATCAAATCCACATTAAGAACCTCTGTTACATTCAGGGGTTCACCGGCTGCTTTATGCTTGCCAGGTCTCCAGAGCCTCTGCCAACAGTGCCACTTTGTTCTCTCTTGGGGAGACTCTGAATCTTCAGGGCACCTCAAGATCACGCCCTGCCTGAGAAATGAGGTCAGAAGTAGACCACATGACTGAGGATGCTCTGGTTCAACTCAGAGCTCCAAAGTCCATCCAAGAGAATGAACAAACCCAACAGAAGAGCCAGGCTTGGAGGAGCTGCTTCTTTAGGAAAAGCAAGTGCTCTGGGGAAGACGCAGACTTGGGGGAGGAGTCCCAGTGTCCTGTTACTTATGATGCCTTTTGTGTTAACAACAGAGCCTTCAGACAACAGAGAGCTCCCTTCCATCTCTCAAGGGAGCACTGTGTATGCGCAGGTCAATCAGCCACGCTTGGTGGGTCCTTTACATTCCATTGCTGTTTCTGTTCTTACCCTGATTATCCACAAACATGTCACCATGATTGTCTGGTCTGATTGTCTGGTCGGTCGATCCAGATGCTACCCACGAGTGAGAGGAGAGGAAGGAAGCAACAGAGGCCATAAAGCTCTATTCAGGACCCCTCTGGTGTCCCTGTGGTCACCCCTCAGGGAATGAGTATTTCTGCTCATTCAGATGTTCTCTAACTTCTTGGGCACCTGTAGGTCTTGCCCCTTCAGCAGTCTGAAGCACAACTAACTTGCATAGTTGTGCAAGCTAGATCTTCCTCTTTCTTCCCCTATAGCTCAGCACAACACTCAATAAATGTTTCATGAATGAATCAGTTCCTCTAAGTTTGAGGGTTTCCAAAGTAGAGAGGTCCAGAGCACAGGCTTCTCACACTGGAGTGAGGGACTTTAGGGTAGCTTAGGAATAGTCTTTCAAGAATGGGACAAGTGTGAGAAACCTCAGCTTCTCCATAGCAGGGGACCCTAAAGCAAGGAGCAGCCTTCACTCCTCCCCTCTCTTCTAGCAGCACAACAGACTGTCCTGCTTTGGCATGTTACTAATCAAGCCCCAGGAACTTCTCTATCACTCCTCTGTCCTCACTGCCTTTATATAGAGCACCAGTGGTAGCACATGCTAAATAACACTGCACAGTATGTGAAAGCGATAGAAACAACAGCCCAGCTGGAAATCTTGACTTCCCCCCACCCAAATACCCCTGCCTCAGCCCCTTGAAGGAACTTCTGAAGTAGGTCCCTGAAGAAAGGACAAAAGAGACACTCACTTGCCAATTCCTGTTGAAGGCAAATTGAGTCACTTCCAACAAATCAAAAGAACTAATCTCCAGCCAACTCGCTAGTTTTTCCTTTAGCAAAAAAAAAAAAAACAATTATATTTGGTGAGTTTTTGAGGCCTTACTAATTCTCTAAATATTCTTTCATTAATTTCAATATTATTTCATTAATTTTAAGGGTCAAAATTTATGAACTAGGTCCTCAAACTCCATGAGTACTTCTGTTGATATAGCCATGCTGTACTCAGACAGAGCATTCAGAAGGCCAGATGTCCCTGCTCTGCCAATTCCTGATGCTTGAGAAGACCTCAGTCACATGGTGACCAGATAGAAGGACAGGGATATGTGGAGCAGGGAAAGCAGGCAGCTCCAGCTGCAGCCAGTTGAAAACCTGGAACAAAAGATAGAATGCCAAAATCATCTGCTATACAAGTGAGTTCTTAAAAATAAAGGAGACAGTGAAGTTGGAGGCAGGTCAAGAGTGTTCCTCTCCCTTCACAAAGCAAGATGGTCTTTCTGCCTTTCTCTCTGGTTCACAAGCCCTCCGGCTTACGGAGCTGTTGCTCTTTTGTTTGGAGCTCAGAAGATGTCATGACAGTTTAGTAGGTCTAAGTTGTAACAGTTAGTCTCCAGCTCCTCATTTGTTACGCTGCTTTCCCAAGGGTCTTAGTTACTTTTCTCATTGCTGTGACAAAATACCTGACACCCAAAGTTAAGGGAGGAAGGTTTATTTGGCTTACAGCAGAGGTGTTAGTCTATAGTTGGCTAGTTCCAAAGCAGGGCGGCATTGCCGAGGGGAATCACAGCAGCAGAGAAACAGTTCATGGTGGCAGAAGGTAGCAAAGAGGCAAGGCAAGACTTTTTTCTGTTCCTTATGTTGTATCCAGGCTACTGGGATTAGGTAGCTGCCAAACCAACCAGTGGACTAATTTAGAATCACCTACCCTTCATCTTACCACTGCATGATGAGTCCATGACACACTTGAAATTCAGCCACTTTTGAAAATTTATGACTTATGATCGCATGAAGCTTTGGTGAGACATCTAAACACAAGCCATAACACCAAGATATAGATAGAGAGATAGATAGATAGATAGATAGATAGATAGATAGATAGATAGAT